ATATAATTATCTATTTATTTAAAGTTTTTTTGCATTTAGTTTTAAAATATTATATATTATTATTTATTAAAAATTGTGAATTTCAAATTAACATAATATTTTACAAACAAATTAATATGTAAATCTAATATAAAAATAACAATAAAAATTATTGTTAATTACATTTCTGGTATCGTTATTTGTTTTACGAAACTTATCTGATATAAATTATTCTTTCATAAAGATTTAAATGAGTTTTCTAATTTTTTGTTGCATTCGAATCACTACATAATGTTAAATAAAAGATTGTAAAGTAAAAAATATGAAAAAATAGTAAATAAAGTTTACGATTAAGTTTGAAAATTTGAAAATAAACTTGTCATAATTAGATAAATAAATTAAAAAAATTTTTCCAAAACACTTCCTAAAAGTAAAATTTAAAAATGTTTTGCAAAAAACATTAATATTAGATTTTATACTTTCAGTTACATGAGTGCTGTATCCAATAATTGTCTATCAATAAATGCTTAAAAACTAGTAATCAAATAAATAATTTTATAAAGAAATCATGATCGTAGGGTGAAAACATTATATAAATTGTCTTTACAAAAAATAATTATTAAATAAAGAACACTCCTCTAACTAATTATTTTTATAAATTTTCAAAATTTAGTTATTTATTTAATTCTATATTTTGAAAGATTCAAGCTATGCATTAGTCCTTATCATTGAAAATGTGTTGATTTTACATCATTAACATTCAAAGCCTCATTTTAACTATGTTTTGTCTTTATCTTAACTTTAAAGTATAAGATATTTTCGATTCATAATATAGAAGGTAATATCAAAGTAATAGAAATTCAATAATATTTATTTTAAAAAAGAAATGGAATGGAAGAACGATTTGTACGATTTATTAGCTTCATCCAAAGATGTCGACTAATCAGTATATAAGGTGACAATTGAGATGTTGAGAAAAGAAAACATTTCAGACTGTTTACCATTTCTATCAGATGAAGAAAATCTAATACATTGTTTATAATTAATTTTAAAAGCG